GTCATCGAAATGCCTCGTGGCAGGAGACGTGTGGGGCCGAGAGCGATGGTCCGCCCGCCCCATAGGGTTTCCCCAAGCGGTGGGACGGTCATAAGCCGAACGATCCGTAGGCCTAACAACTCTGCAGAACAAAAAAGAATCCAAAATTGGTGCAAAAATCAACCAGGGTTTTTCAATCTCTCGCTCTAGGGCAACGAAAATCAAAGCAATTACAAAACCCAGATCTAAAAATCGGAGCTTTACAGATATGAATCAAAAGCAATACGGTTTTTCAATCTCGTAATTTCCCATAGCAATAAAAATACACAGAAAATATATAAAGATTAAGAAAAGGGTAAACGGGACTTACACACCAGGAGCAGAAGGAAGAGGGAGATCAGAGGGAATCGAACCGCCATGGAAGTCCTTGAGCGTCATGGTATTCCCACTCACTTTCTTCTTCGACATTTTTCTCTCCCCCTCCTCTCTCTCTCTCTCTCCCTACTTTCTCTCTCAAGATCTTCCCTTTGATTCAATTTGTAGATTTTGTTAGGAGATTGGGATTGAAGAGGACAGAGATTGGATGGACGGAGAAGAAGCAGAGGGAAAAAGCTTCGGAACCTTGAAAGATCGCCTCTCTGCTTCCCTCGCTTATTGGAACTCCACCACTGCGTTCTTTCTTTCTTTCCCGTCCGTACTGCTCGCTGGGCTTTCTATTTTGATGAAGATAGCGTCTTTCACCTCATGATGATCATGGCCGTCCGATCATTGACCGACCCTTGCAATCTACATTTTTTTTAAATCTACATATCAAACTTAAATACAACAATATTTTCTTCAAAAGCAACTATAAAAGTTTATATCACTTAAATCTTCTTCAAAAACGTAGAATTTAGCGGTACAAAAAATGAATGATTGAAATTAAAAATAGAAGAAATAACAGTTGATGAAATTAAATATAATTGTTAAAACACTTGCAGCATTGAATGTTACACAGCATTAAAAAGTCATAATGAATGCTACAATCACTAATCCACGACCCAATGTACCTCGCCATCAAACGCACAATACGTGGCCTCGAGAGGATTTTAAACATCAAACATAGTTTTTATTTTTTTTTAACAATCGATATTATCTACCCTAAGGGGAGGGGGTGGGCTTAGCCTTACAATGGGCTAGCAATAAATTGGTGCAAATTCGCCTTTGGCGAGATTGCAACCTAAGACCTCTCACTTATCAGTGAAGAGGAATACCACTAGACAGTAGTACTAGTGGCAACACCAAACATAGTTGAGTGAACACGTTTTTCATCAATCTAACTTCAGATCATAGCTAATAGAGACCCCAAATAAAAGAACAATGGCTAGAAAGAAGAAACTGCAAAATAACAACAATCAAATTGATTTTTGTTGTTTAAAACCCTTCAATATAATTATTTTTTGCCTTTTAAAAAGAAAATATATTTTGTTTTGCCGAAAATGTCCTTTATTTCATTTTTGTTGGACTGTAGATCGAGACCATGATTTTTGCACAACAAAGCCGAAGTCAGGCCCAAAACTGAAAAATCTTCGAAGGCCGAACAAATCGAAGTCCATCCAACTCGTCCAATATATTGCTCAAATTTCACGGCCCATTCTTTTAACCCTCAATAAATAAAACCAAATGAGAAATTTTATTTGAAACAATATAAATTCATTCTACATTTAATAACATTAAAATCAAAATTTATCAATAAACTAACACCCAATAATCAAACAACTACTATCGAATTATTACACTAACACTCTATGAGGTTTATCAAATGTACACGATATCTTTTCACATTTAAGACATTATACTAAAACCTCTTTAGATTTTTTTATCAAGAAAAACAATTTATTAAACCCTCGAGTCAAAAATCTGCTTATAAATTTACTAATTTACCTTTATAATTAAGAAAAGGTTTTATTTTTTTGTTGAATAAGAAAATCTTTGTAAATATTTAGCAAAATAATATCAAATTAAAACATTATGTATTAAAAAAAAACAAAAATTAAAGATCAAAACGTTAGCAAGAGAGACTGGTAGAGCCGTTGATCCCGCCAAGGCCAACCCACTAGGAGTTCGTTACTAATTTTGAAGCTCAATGAATAACCTTGTCTTCCTCGCAGGAATAGCAACAGTATTGAACTTTTTAAAAACCTTTGTCTTTGAGAACCCATATGTCACTGTACACAGTGATGAATTCAGAATTTGAACCTTGAGTGGTTCCAGTGTTAAATACAAGTTTTTTATATAGGAATAAAGCACAAAGTGCGTAAAAGAAAATCAATTTATTCATTTGGTAGGCTTGTTGTGCACATGTTAATAGATATCACATATGTTGAACCAATCTGATGAGTGATATAGGGAGAATTTGTCGAGTGTTATTGATGCAACATGTCAAGGTATGCCTAACATGCATTACAACAAACATTTATTAGGCACAAAAGAGATCATACTAAACATTCAGAGGGTACTCGAAAGACATTCACATATATATTTTTGGGACTCAGACCACCTTAGTGCCTATTTCCCTCCCGCCCCCCCCCCCCCCCCAACTGTGCGTAGTACATTCCAACACCTATATTGGATTGCAACAAGCAAATTGATCCCTTGTACTCTGCAATATTTTGTGTTTTAAGTTGTAAACCTCAAGTTACTGCAAGGCTCCCCTCACAATGGAAATCGAGAGACTAAACGCTCACTTTCTTTATTTTACACAATAATCAAACCCTTACCATCTCACAATCTTTATTATACGTTCTATTATGACTAAAACCCTAGCTGCTTTCATAGAGAAAAACAAGTTCCTTTTTACTAATAAATGGTCTATTTTGAAGATTTAGAGTCAAAAACTTGCTATGAAGATAAAGTATTAGGGGTGTGTGGATCAATTTAAGCAACTTCGAATGTTAAAAAATGTAGCCACTAATAATATTATGGCTCTTGAAGATGATTATAAATGCTTTGATAGATACGTTGATATTTCTTTTTCTTTAAAAATATATTTGTCGATCTATTTTTCTATTTATATTTGCTTATTATTCTCCTATGTAATCAACGACTTCAATGAACTGGAAGACTTCAGATAAAACAAAAACTTCTTTTTCTTTCTGTTTGTTTGTTAAGATTTTTTTTTCTATTTGCATTCGCTTATTATTTTTCTCTGTATTCATCGACTTCAATGAATTGGAAGACTTCGGATAAAACAAAAAGTTCCTTTTCCTTCTGTTTGTTTGTTTCTTAAGCTTTTCTTATATGCATGTATGTGATAAGTGGCAATAAGCATCAGAAAGATAATAACTTTAATTCAAAGAAATAACTTTGATTTTAAAGGTAATATCTTTATTTCAAACCGCATGAGTACTTGCTAGTTTACAAGAGGTTCGAATAGTAAAGACAGGAGATGGGTCCGAGTCCCTTTCTCTTGGTCACCAAATCCATCTCCATCTTGGTAAAGGCTGTGCGCCACTCGAGCCATATTTGTGGCAGTGTTGCTGAACGATGACAGAAAAGGCACTTGGTTTGTTGTGAAGCATTTTCCATTTATTTTCTTCCATGCCTTGTCTATCATGCCCTTAATGTTCTTCCTAGCATTTTCACTTCTCTCATGTAACATAGGATTGATGAAGGAGAATCCCCTCTCTCTTGCTCGGCCTGTTAATCATTTCGTTAATTATGTCATGATTAGGATTTTTGCTTAATTTCTTCCTATTGTAAAGAATGAATGAAGATAGAAGAAGAATACCGCGGAAGTTCCCAAATCATTGGTGAGGCGAACGATGAGAGAGATATTATACAAAAGATCTTCGTTCTTGGGGAGAAAATCAGCCATCTCTCTGGTTCCCTCATGAATTGTAGAGAAAACTGTGTGAACCAAAAGCTCTGAAACTGATGATGAAATGCACCCATTTCTTAGGTACTCTTCAAGGATAGGTGTCTGGCTCTTATTGTACCACTCTGCCTCCACCAATAATGCTTTACAAAAATCTGCCCACTTAGAAACAGAAATAATTTTTTTAACTATAAATATATACATAAAATTCAAAGCAAACAAGAAAGAAGAAATGTTATGGCAATCTAAAAATGTTATCTGCAATTAACCCATATAAAAATATGCAAAGAATTTACATTTCGGAAAGTACAGGATGACCTTTTCAAAATGACCTTTTCAAAGTGAAAATAACAGTTAAAAAAACAACAAAACCGGGTTAGGTTGAGTACCACTTTGGTCAAGTGAGGTAATCTATTATCCAATCTTTCTCCTCCTCAAGTTCATGAGCAATTTCACAAGTAGTGTTGCAGAGTACTTTAAACACATCTTCATCCGCGAAATGGTGGTTCTCTAATGTGCCCTTTTCATCCATGAATCTACCAAATATATTTGTGTTTCACACCACACATAATCAGTTAAACAATAAGACTTGTTTAATTATAAGATAAATTTATGGAAATGATTTAGAAGTGCTTAGGTCTAAACGCATGGCTACGAATTATTTACCTTGTGAAACTTTATTGCCATGCTGCCTGAGGATCTTGAAGTGTAATGCAGTAGTTGATTTCCTTTTCGAAGTGGTTCGCGATGCCTAGTTTTTGGATGCTGTCAATCAGCTGTAAGTTCTATTTGAGAGCAAACACTTTGTGATTTGTACAAAGTCTTTTGGGACGATAAGGAGATTAACTTTATCACATGTGGCAGACTTATAAGGAGTTGTATTACTTAGGTATACAAGTCAGAAACATTCTTAGATAAACTAGAACTCTTCTAGCTGATTTATGCACAAGTAATCTTCGGTGATAAAGTTCATCTTTGATAGGGTTTACTTAATGGGAGGACTCCTAATCAAAGACCATCACCTATAGTATATAACTGAGGTCCCTGTGCTCTCACTAAATACCTGCAAGTATACAGAAATCCTCAAGCCCCATTGAGTGAGCCTTGCTTCCGGACAGTGCAGAGACACAGAAGAGCCTCAGTTCTTTACCCTATTTCTGAGACGATGTCTTCATCAGGTTAGTGGTTAGATTGGTATATGAGTCAGTCGTTATATATGTATATAACCTAAAGAATTAACTTACATTTGGTATCAGAGCCCTCACATATCATCTGACCCTATGTGAAAGGCATCAAGAAATTTCATTCTGTCTTGCAGGTTATGGAACTGGAACTGTATCATCAAGGAAAAATATATACAACACGTTCAAGGACGACTAAAGTTATCCTTGATCATAAGGATATTATGTTTTTCAATCGATACATGTACCAGTGATGGTGCTTAAAATTCAAGACATGATTATTGATCATCTAAAGATGATTTTTCTTTCATGCTTCGAATTTGAGCAGCATATCATTTTATATATATATATTTGAATCAAATTAATATTGTCAAACCACAAAGGCTTGTGATTTTAATTACAGAAATTCGAATGTTGACTATAAAAGTGATATGATTAAAGAAAGTTTTCACATATTCATCAATCTAAAGATGTTGAAGATGTGATTTATGGTTTGGGGTTAAAGATTAATACTCTTTACATCATGAACGTTTCCTTTTCAGTGAATCCCAGCTCTTTGAATCTCAATACAGTTGAGCCTCTTACTGGTGTCAACTACAGAAAGTGGAAACAAGATCTCGAAATCGTTTTGGGAGTTATGGACTGGGATTTGGCACTGAGAACTGAAGAACCTCCGGCACTCACTGATGACAGCACTGCAAATCAGAAATCCAAGTATGAAAAATGGCACAAATCCAACAGAATTGCCCTATTGATCATCAAAAGGAGCATGACAGATGTGGTGAGAGGTGGCTTTCCTGATGAAGCAAATGCAAAAGATTTTTTGAAGTCCATTGAGGCAAAGTATAGGGAATCACCAAAAACTGAGACAGGTAATCTCATGAATGCTCTCACTACCATGAGATATGATGGGGTTCAAAGTTTGTGAGAATACATATTGAAAATGGTGGACGTTGTTGCTGGAAAACTCAATGCACTCGAGGTACCAATTTCTGATACTTTTCTGGTACATGTCATTATGAATTCTCTGCCTGAAAGTTATACACAACTCAAAGTTTATTATAATGGTCTACGTGAGAAATGGGATGTGAATGAATTGATAGCTATTTGTGTGAGTGAAGAAGAAAGGATGAAGAAAGAAAGGTTTGAGAAAGAGAGAATTGAGTCTGTGAACCTTGTCCAAAGTGTCACTAGGGCCACTAAATTTCATGTTCCCGATACTGCCAAAAAGGATTCTACCAAGTCAGTTCCCTCTCCTAAAAGAAACTTCAAGCTTAATAAACTTTCAGTTTTCAAGTGCTATTTTTGCAAAAAGGCAGGCCACATGAAGAAAAGCTGTCCCAAATATAAGGCTTGGCTTGCCAAACAAGAAGCAAAGAAAGGTAAAAATGTTTTTGCTTGTTTTGAATCAAATTTAATTAACATACCCAGCACTGAATGGTGGCTTGACTCGGGCTCTTCTATACATGTTACAACTTCATTACAAGACTTCACAACATGGAGAACACCAAATAAGGATGAAGTCAAAGTTTCGGTTGGCAATGGAAGAAGAGTTGAAGTCAAAGCCCTAGGAAGTGTTAGACTAAAGCTAGAATTTGGTTTTTATTTAGAGTTAGATAACGTGTTTATGTGCCTTCCATGAAAAGGAAGTTGATTTCTATTTCAAAGCTAGTGTTATTGGGTTTTTATTTTACTATTAATAAAAGGGGCTTTAACGTTTTTTATGAATCTTCTCAAGTAGGACATGGTTTCATGAGTGATGGTATGTTTCAACTTAAATTAAATCAAACTGAATATGTTTTCAACGTACAAGATGATAAAATCAAAACTCAACAGTCTTCAATATTATGGCATAAGAGACTCGGCCATATTTCTAAACAAAGAATGGAGCTGCTTGTCAAAAACGAAATTCTACCTCCATTAAACTTCAATGACTTTGAATTTTGTGTGGATTGCATTAAAGGGAAAATGACAAACACTAGAAAGGAAGGCTCAACTAGGAGTAAGCAACCCTTAGAGATCATTCACACGGACATTTGTGGTCCTTTTCCCACACAAACCTTAGAAGGAAACAAATATTTCATTACTTATATTGATGATTTCTCAAGATTTTGCTTCATTTATTTGATTTCAGAAAAGTCTAAAGCACTTGAAACTTTTTAAAATTTATAAAAGTGAAGTCGAAAATCAATTGGAAAGGAACATTAAGGTTGTAAGATCTGATAGGGGAGGGGAGTACTATGGTAGATATACTGAAATTGGTAGAAATCCTGGACCTTTTGCGTTATTTCTGCAAGAACATGGAATTGTAGCCCAATATACCACACCAGGTACTCCGGAGCAAAACGGAGTAGCCGAGAGGAGGAATAGAACTCTCATGGACATGGTAAGGAGCATGATTTGTAGAACTAATCTGCCAAGTTGTTTGTGGGGAGAAGCAGTGAAAACTGCAAATTATATATTTAAATAGGGTACCTTCTAAATCTGTGGAAGGGACACCTTTCGAACTATGGACAGGCAGAAAACCGAGTTTAAACCACTTGCATGTATGGGGCTGTAGAGCAGAGGCAAAGATATATAATCCAGGCTACAAGAAACTTGATTCAAAGACTGTCAGTTGTCGTTTTATTGGATATGCTGAAAGGTCGAAGGGTTTTAGATTTTATTGCCCTAACCAAAATACAAGAATTGTCGAAACTGGAAAAGCAGTTTTCATGGAGTCTGATGCAAGCGTCGATTCTGGGACAAGGGTTGAAGGGTTTGTATTTGAAGAAGAAATAAACAATCAAGAAGCAGCAGTTGAAGACGTTGATCGTAACACAGCGATTATGGCACCGATAGTTGTAGTAACCGAGATAATGGGAAGCAATGATTCTGATGAACCAAGTCACGAGATAGAGGTTGCACATGACATCGAACTGCACGATAACACTGTTGTACAAGACGTGTTTGAAGAGGTTGTGACAGAAAATCAACAACAACAACACCATGCACATGAAGACAACATCACGGCTGCGGGTGCTGCAAATATAAGAATGTCATCTAGGGTTAGAAAACCTACAACCCTAAATGATTTCGTATATTTGACACAGGTTGACACTGATCTTTCAGAGTTTAATGATCCGATGAGTTACAAAGAAGCAATTGCAGGACCAGATGCTGATAAATGGATAGAAGCCATGAAGAGTGAACTGAGTTCGATGGCAAACAATCAAGTGTGGGATCTAGTGGAACAGGCAGAAGGATCAAAACCCATAAGATGCAAATGGGTTTTCAAAACAAAAAAGGATTCAAACGGAAACATAGAAAGGCACAAAGCCAGGCTTGTTGCGAAAGGCTTCACGCAAAAGGAGGGTGTAGACTACAAAGAAACATTCAGCCCCGTGTCGACAAAAGATGCGTTTAGGGTTATTATGTCTATGGTGGCTCATTTTGATTTGATTTTACATCAAATGGATGTAAAAACGGCGTTCTTGAATGGGGACCTGGAAGAATGCATTTACATGCGTCAACCAGAAGGTTTCAAGGAGGGAGAAGGAAGAAACCTAGTGTGCAAACTCAACAAATCCATATATGGATTGAAGCAAGCATCACGGCAATGGTACTTGAAATTTCATAGAATTGTGAAAGAACATGGCTTCACCGAGAATCCTTCAGACAATTGCATTTATCTGAAGTTCAGTGGTAGCAACTTTATCATCCTAGTTCTCTATGTGGATGATATATTACTTGCCACGAATTCTCACAGTTTGTTGGATGATACAAAAACTTTTTTGCAGAAGCATTTTGAAATGAAAGACATGGGAGAAGCGACATATGTTTTGGGCATTGAGATCAAAAGGGATAGAATGAGAGGTTTGCTAGGCTTGTCACAGAAAGCATACATAGAGAAAATGTTAAGAAGGTTTAATATGTCTTCGTGTGGAACTACTGAGATGCCTATATCGAAGGGTGATAAATTGAGTAAGCAGCAGTGTCCACAAACAGACTTAGAGAGGAAGGCTATGGATGACAAACCATACGCCTCCCTGGTGGGAAGTTTAATGTATGCACAGGTGTGCACAAGGCCTGACTTGGCTTTCACCATTTCCGTGCTTGGGAGGTTTCAATCCAATGCAGGTGAAGCTCACTGGAATGCTGCCAAAAGAGTTTTGAGATACCTTCAGAGAACCAAGGACCATATGTTGGTGTATAAAAGAACCGAGAGTTTGGTTTTGGAAGGGTATAGTGATTCTGATTTTGCCGGTTGTCCAGATGATATGAAGTCAACTACAGGTTATGTTTTCTTAATGGCATGTGGTGCGGTTTCTTGGAAGTCTGTCAAACAAGGAACTGTGGCAGCGTCAACAATGGTTGCAGAGTATTTATCAGTCTGTGAAACAGTGAATCAAGCTGTTTGGTTGAAGAATTTCATAGTTGGGCTTCAAGTAGTGGACTCTATATCGAGACCTATACAGATTTTCTGTGATAATAATGCAGCCATATTCTTTACTAAAAATAATAAGAGATCTAATGCAACAAGGAATTTGGATATAAAATATCTCATTGCTCGAGAGAAGGTGATGGCCGGTTTAGTTAAGGTTGATTATTTGGAGACTGGATCCATGATCGCTGATCCGTTAAATAAAGCAGTTCCCACCATCGTTTTCAAGAAGCATGTCACTAGCATGGGAGTCTTGGCTGGTTTTGATGCAGCGAATTAGTGGGAGCTATGCAACAGGTTTCAACTTTTATGCTAGTTTTCATTCAATAGCAATTTATGTTATAGAGGATAAGTTTGAGTATTAACAATGAAGTTTTCTTAGCTAATAAAGAATAAAGCTGAAAGGTTGTTCAAGTTTCCTTAAAGGGTTCAGTTTTTAGCTATGATAATGCATGAATATTTTGCATGCTGTTTATGATTTTTATTCATTACACAGTGTCGGACAACCTGAGGGCTTTATATAGAAGCACATGGATCGTTTTGATTCTGAAAGGGACCAAATGTTAGACATAATTAATACATGTTCGGTTGTGTCTTGCATGCTATATATCTTGTTGGAATCTTATGTGTTGATAAGCTTTACTGCAAGTAATTATGGGGACGGTACTCTTCAGTGTAATGAGTGTGTTGCCCTATAATTCTCATGAATGCTTAACAATGACGAAGACTGGAAAACTAAGAAGTGTCGAAAGTTAATCTCATGGCCAATTCAGATCCTTCCCAACTCCAGTATGATTATACAACTTTACAAAGTATTTGCTCTAGTGGGAGAATGTAAGTTCTATTTGAGAGCAAACACTTTGTGATTTGTACAAAGTCTTTTGGGACGATAAGGAGATTAACCTTATCACATGTGGCAGACTTATAAGGAGTTGTATTACTTAGGTATACAAGTCAGAAACATTCTTAGATAAACTAGAACTCTTCTAGCTGATTTATGCACAAGTAATCTTCGGTGATAAAGTTCATCTTTGATAGGGTTTACTTAATGGGAGGACTCCTAATCAAAGACCATCACCTATAGTATATAACTGAGGTCCCTGTGCTCTCACTAAATACCTGCAAGTATACAGAAATCCTCAAGCCCCATTGAGTGAGCCTTGCTTCCGGACAGTGCAGAGACACAGAAGAGCCTCAGTTCTTTACCCTATTTCTGAGACGATGTCTTCATCAGGTTAGTGGTTAGATTGGTATATGAGTCAGTCGTTATATATGTATATAACCTAAAGAATTAACTTACATCAGCTCCAACTTAGCTACTAAATGGAAGAAGCTTAGAAATATATGTATAACTCACACCATATTTGCTGTTAAGAGATTGATCTAGGAAATCATACTTCCAAATACTTGGTTTGTAATTGGCAGATCGTCTTTGATTAGTCAAGTAAGAGGTTTCGGGTTCGAGTTTCATCTGGTTTTGAAGAATTTGCTGCTCATGATCAGCTTGCAAGTACTGTAAACTCCATGGTGAAGACTTAGTCTGATGTACAAGAAGCTCGAGATATTTGGGATATCAAATGAATCTCCGGAGGGGTGGGTCATATAGGCAAAGGTATTGGAAACTCCACACTGTGTTTACTGGTCAATATATTAGTCATGGGTACTGTTTATAGCGTTCACAATATTTCACTTGGAAAACGAGAAAAATATCAATGAGTTTATGATATCAAGGGGAGGGAAAAAATGGTGGAGAGAATCCTACTCCTTTTTTTATGTTTAATATATATGAAATGTTGGCTTTAAATCAGATCAACTCAGTTATGAGATGCTTTGATATGTTGCAAAACCTACATCTGAAACGAGAAAGTTTCAGCCATCCGCTTAGATATATATTTGACATTTTCGCAAGAGACTACTCTAATTAGGTTAAAAGATTGAACTCGGGGGCACATTAGAGTGAGCGCTTTAAATAACTATTTTGATTTACACATGTCATTGTTTTAATTCACATAAAGATGATTGAGCTCGAATACAAAAATATTAGACACATTAACCTGAACAACCTAGTCTAACTCACACATATTTCATCATAACCAAAATCAAGTTGAATTCTAATTTGGCTCCCGGAGATTCTAGTACAGAAAAATCATACAACAAATTCGAATCCCATAATAAGCAAAACTTTGCTTTTCCAATTAATGTCGGGCAATGATATTTCATTCAATAGCAAATTCAAGATTTTAATGATGGGTGATCTCAATATAAAAGTTCAAAAAAAATAAATAAATAACATTAAAAAAATAAACGACAAACTACAACTTTTTATTCATAATCTTTGTGCAACAACGTTACAAACTGTAAAGATTAATTTATCCATGACGAACTGAACCGCAAACTTCTTGCTGCTATTTATTTCAAACTATATGAGTACTAGTTTACAAGAGGTTGGAATAGTAAAGACAGGATGTGGGTCCGAGGCCCTTTCTCTTGGTCACCAAACCCATCTCCATCTTTGTAAAGGCTGTGCGCCACACGTGCCATGTTTGTGGCATTGTTCATGAATGATGACAGAAAAGGCACTTGGTTTGTTGTGAAGCATTTTCCATTTACTTTCTTCCATGCATTGTCTATCATGCCCTTAATGTTCTTCCTAGCTGTTTCTTCAGAGGCATTCACTTCTCTCATGTAACATACGATTGATGAAGGAGAATCCCCTCTCTCTTGTTCAGCCTGTTAATCATTTCATTAATTATGTCGTGATTAGATTTTTTGTTTAGTTTTTTCGACTGTAAAGAATGAAAGAAATAAAAAAGATTACCACGGAAGTTCCCAAATCATTGTTGAGGCGAACGATGAGAGAGATATTATACAAAAGATCTTCATTCTTGTGAAGAAAATCAGCCATCTCTTTGGTTCCCTCATGAGTTATAGAGAAAAACGAGTGAACCAAAAGCACTGAAACTGATGATGAAATGCATCCGTTTCTTAGGTACTCTTCAAGGGTTGGTATATGGCTCTTATTATACCACTCTGCCTCCACCAATAATGCTTTACAAAAATCTGCCCACTAAGAATCAGACAAATAAGTTCAGCTATAAATATATATACACACATAAAAATCAAAGCAAACAAAAAAAGAGAATTGTTATTGGCAATCTAAAAATGTTATATGCACTCATCCGTTATAAAAATGTAACGGAGAATTTACACTTCGGCAAGTTTAGGATGATCTTTCCAAAGTGCCAATAACAGCTAAAAAACAAAACAAAACTGGCTTAGGTTGAGTACCACTTTGGTCAATTGAGGTAATACTTGGTTCCAACCATTCTCCTCCTCAATTTCACGAGCAATTTCACAAGTAGTGTTGTAGAGTACTTGGAAACACATCTTCATACACTCTGGAAGCTGCTCAGTTTCCCTAGAATCCCACCTGATCAATTCAAGAAATCTTTTAAAATTTTGTATCAACAATTATCGTTTATGGAATTTGAACTCACAACTTCCTCAAAAAATGTCAAAACTCGACATTTGGCATTTGAAAATTAAATAACTGAATTAAATAACTGACCTATCAACAGCATTGGTGAAGTGCTTTAGCTCTTCCTCTGAGCCATAAATATCATAGACGTCGTCTATGATCAGTACTAAGTTGATGACTTTGGTAAGACATATTCTAAAAGATGAGTGCTCAGGCTCGAATGCTACTCCCACAGCACATGAGAAACATTCAACCAGTCTATCTCTTGCAAATTTCAAGTTGTCTGCGAAGCCCAGATTTGCCCACCACCTTAAATGACACATTAAAATCATTATGAGGGTCGTTGGAGCGGTTGAGAATACTGTCAAAATACGGAGAGAGAATCTCGCTCACACTCACATGCATTAGGCCAGCACGACGGTCACATGCCACAACATGCATTAAGTCCTTCTAAATAAGACTATCCTTTTCATAACATAGACTTTCCTCACATCCTCCCCCCTCTCTCTCCCCCACCCCCCAAATGGATTACTTTGATGACATTCTGTATTAATGACGTAACATCATGTGTTTTATTGTTTCAGAGAGTTTCCTCACATCCCCCCATAGGTTACTTTGATGACATTATGTATTAATGACGTAACATCATGTGTTTTATTGTTTTCGCATGCATCGTATCATTAGTTCAAAAGTAAATTGTAGCAGTGGTCCCTCAACTTTAATTAAATTGGAGCAATGGTTCCTTAACTAAAAATTCATTATCATTGGTCCCTCAACTCATCAAAATGTATAGCTATGGTCCTTTTCGTCAACTTCGTCATAATTTTGTCAAAATAAGTTATATTGGAATAATCATTGCTATAATTGGGATCCCTCAACTCATCAAAACGTGCAGCTATGGTCCCTTTTGTCAACTTTGTCAGAATTTTGTGAAAATGAGTTATGTTGAAAGGACCATTGCTACAATTGGGCTAAAGTTGAGGGACCATTGTTCCAATTGGGTTAAAGTTGATGACCATTTCTCCAGTTGGATTAAAGTTGAGGGACCATAGCTGCACATTTTGATAAGTTGAGGGATCAATGGTAATAGATTTATAGTTGAGGGGTCATTGCTCCAATTGAGTTAAAGTTAAGGGATCATTGCTACAATTTACTCTTAGTTCAAAATGTCGTCATCATAATAAATATATAGAAATAACATGGGGTGTGCTATCCACACATCTCTTTTTACTTCTCACACACCATCTTAATTTTAGGCCGTCAGATCGAAAAAAATTGAAGAAGACAAATGATATAAATTAATAAGGGGTGTATGAGAAGTAAAAATGAATATGTGGATACGACACCCGTAAATAAATTAAGAAGAAGACGAATGATGTTTTTTTTTTTTGCCTTACCTGGATGCTTCCCTTAAGTTTTTTTGGAGTTGGGCCTGAACTACGTTGAAATTAAGCTTTGCTAATTCGAGTAACGTGGCGTTGACGCGACAAATGTCTTTTTCATAGGCGTTGATTTGCCATTTGACATCAAACCACTGCACTCTGCGGTGTGATGGAAGCTCCAGGGAATGAACTACGTCCCTGGAAAGGTTACTGTCTGGATAACAAATATGACCACTATCTCTGAGAGCTAGCGTCAAGGAAGCTTTCGCCTCATCTAAAATATCTTCACCTTCGAAACCCAGGTTTGAGGCCTCGAAAAGTTCCAGCATTCCTTTTAAATGCGCGAAATGGTGGTTCTCTAATGTGCCCTTTTCATCCATGAATCTACCAAATATATCTGTGTTTCACACCACACATCAGTTAAACAATAAGAGTTCTTTAATTATAAGATAAAATTATGGAAATGTTTAGAAGTGCTTAGGTCTAAACGCATGGCTAATCATTATTTACCTTGTGAAACTTTATAGCCATGCTGCCTGAGGATCTTGAAGTGTAATGCAGTACCATAGAGATCGTCTCTTGTGCCGAGATTGTCGCTTTCGATAGCTGCAATGCTGTCTAGGGCTTCCTTGATTTCCTTTTCGAAGAGGTTCGCGAGGCCTAGTTTTCGGACGCTGTCAATGAGCTCCAACTTAGCTACTAAATCCATTGTTTCAGCAGATATATAAATCTTAACTTCTTCTATTAACTTCTCAGACAGCTTCCGATACTCATCTCCCTGCACTCAGTTTATAATAAAATAATTAAGACAATTCACGTTAATTAAGCTTAGACTTTAACTACAACATTAATGGAAGAAGCTTAATTAGAAACATATATAACTCACATCGTATTTGCTGATAAGAGATTGATCTAGGAAATCGTTCTTCCAAATATTTGGCTTGTAATTTGCAGACCGTCTTTGATTAATCAAGTAAGAGGCTTCAGGTTCGGGTTTCATCTGGTTTTGAAAAAATTTCTGCTCATTATCAGCTTGCAAGTGAACTCTGAATTCCATAGTGAATACCTAATTTGGTGTACAAGAAGCTCGAGATGTTTGGGATACAAGAAGCTATAGAGGTTTTTGGGATATCAAATGAATCTCCGGAGGGGTGGGTTATATAGGCAAAGGTAGTGTATACTCCACACGTCTACTGGTCAATAATATTGGACTATGCATGTTTATAGCGCTTTCACATTCCTCGTGAAAAACGAGAAAAAATCAATGAGTGGATAAGTTATATGGTTCTTCTTACAACTACAGGGTCGTCTCTAAGACTTTTGGAGGCTCTGTGCAAAATTTATGAAGATTCTTCTTTAATATAGGTTTTCAAAAATATAGGACAATATATTGATTTGAGAAAGCAATAATTTAAATTAAACAAACTTTAGGACTCATTGATTATAAGTTTACAAATGTCATTAAATAATATGTAAAAGAACTACAAACATAACATTCACTAGATAATAAAAAATAGTTCAATCTTAAACAACCAAACAGAAAAAAAAACTTCAGAAGTTCTAACTTTAAAATTTCACTTGAATATATAGCATTATTATATAATAATATTGAAAAACTATAATTTTTTAGAGTGTTGTTATTGACACTCCAAATATTTCACTGTGCACTACAATTTTTTTTTTGTTATTGACACTCCACATAAGGTTGATACACCTCACATTAAAATTTGATATCAAATGACTTATATACCTTATTATGTAATGACAATTTTGACCTCATAAGGTTTTTAAAAAAAATTAAATACACCCCAAATCATTTTTTACATATATCCCAAGATTATTTATTTTCTTCAACTCTTAAAATCACTCTCCCTCTCTATTGCAGCACAAACCCTAATCAATAAAACTACAAACACATTAAGGTCGTACCCAGTGCACAAGGCTCCCGCTTTACGCAGGGTCTGGGAGAGGTGAATGTCGGCTAGCCTTACCCCCATTTATGGAGAGGCTGCTCCCAAGTCTCGAACCCGAGACCTACCGCTCATGGGCGAAGGCACTTGATTAAAAAAATTTATTTTAGACGAAACATGAAATCGACGTTTCGGAAGCTTCACATGATGTGAAGGTTTCATATTTTTTTTTAATTATTTTAGTGACTCCAACAACATTGGGATGCCTATAACTACAATATGTCTGATATCTCTTGAAAAAAGTATGGTCGATTCATGGATCACTCTCACCCTCTATCTGTTACTGCTTGCTGGGGTTTGTGGCTCAAGATTGAGATGCCTACTTATGTTATTTTGTAATTATCTTATTGTTATGTGCTTCAGCCTACATGCCATTATGTTTGTGATTGTGCCCCCACTCACAGTGAAAGCTAGGCGGGGTGATATGGCTGGATGATCGGCATGAAATCGACTCTCACCCTTAAAGCATCTACTCAGATGCTTATGCAGGTTAAGGAGTTTCGATTGGCTTTAAACTTTCGAGAGCTGAAATTCTTCTACATAAATTCTATCTTTTAAAACCGGTTTCATTGTTTTGTGATTATACAGAAGTAAAAAATAAAATATGTATTTGCACTTAAGACGTGAAAAGTGTGGGGTTTATGTAGAAAGGCGTGGGGTGTATGTAGAAAATGTAGGGTGTACATGTAGAAATGTGGGATGTATGTAAAAAATGTGGGGTGTATTTTGAAAGTGTAGGGTATGAGGGTATTATGAAAAAGTATGTGGGGTGTATTAAGATAAATTTTAATTGAAAAAAGCAAATGTGAGGTGTATTAAATATGTGGTGTGTATTCAACAATATGTGTGATGTTAATAAAACAAATCTTTTTTTAATATAGTAGTTTTTTTTTTGGGCAAACTTTTAAATAAATGACAAATTTTTGGGGAACTTTCAAATTTGAGGTTTTGCTTTGATTGGAAGTTTCGCTGGCTCAAAGCCGCCTCTAAATTATAGTGAATGCGTTTTTTTATATTTTATGTATGAAATGTTTGCTAAAGTCACATCAACTCGTTTACAATTGCTTTCATGGTGTGATATGTTGCAAATCCTACACCTGACACGAGAAAGCTTCAGACATCCGCTATATATTTGCCATTTTGGCAAGAAGGTATTATAATTTACGGTAAAAAGATTAAATTCGGGTGCAAAATAGAGTAAGCGCTATCCACTACTCTAACTAACTATTTTAATTCACATATAGTATCGTTTTAATTTACAAGACTAAGATTATGTTCAAATATGAAAGAGTAAGCACACTTACCTTACATGAACAACTGAATCTAAAGGCCAGTTTGGGATTGTTGTGCTTTAAAAAAAAAAAAATTGTTTCTGCTGTGCTTTAAGAATAATCAGCTATAAAATAAAGCTGATGAGCGTTTGGTTAATTGAATTTTAAAAGTGTTGTGAGCATGAAAAGCAGCGCAAAAGCGTTTGGTAAAATTTAATGTAAATGTGATATAATTGTATACAATGACAAATGGACATAGAAGTAGGAGTAGGGGTGACGACAGCAATGATGGTAATGGTGGTGGTGGTGGTGGTGGTGGTTGTGGTGGAGGTGGTGGTGGTGCTAATAGTGAGATGTAGTGGTGGTGGTGCTAATGGTGCTAGGGCGGTGACAGTGGTAGCGGTTGTGGTTATGGTGGTGTTGGCGGTGGCTACAACGGTGGCAATTGCGGTTGCGGTAATGGTGGCGATAATTGTGGTGGCAATGGTGGCGGTTGTGGTAATGGTGGTGGCGATGGCTGCATCAATGGTGGTAACAATGGTGGTAATGGTTGCAGTAATTGTGGTGGTGGTGGCGATGGTGGCATCAATGGTGGTAGCAGTGGTGGTGGTATGAATGGTGGTGGTGGCGGTAGCAGCAATGATGGTTGTGACAATTATGGTAGTGATGACAGTGGTGGAGGTTATGGTGGCAATGGTTGCGGTAATTGTGGTGGTGGCGGTGGCAGTATTGATGGTCGTGACAATGATGGTAGTGATGACAATGGTGGAGGTTGTGGTTATGGCGGTGGTGGTGACAAAAATGGTGATTGTAGTGGTGGTGATGGTGTAAGGTTAGTATTTGTAGTGGTAGGTAGTAACGTTTACTTTATTCTTTAAGGGATAGAATGTGTGTGGAAGGCTAAACAATGTCATTTAAAAAAAATAATAAAGGTATTACAACAAGGGAACTGTTATTAGCACTCCAAAAATCTCATTCTACACTCCTCATAAGTGTATTTTTCTTTCTAATTATAGAAAGTTTGGAGTGGCAAATGAGATTTTTGGAATGCTAATAACAACTCCCTTAGATCAATTGAAAATAAGGAAAATTAATGAAAATGGCTTGAAAACTTTGAGTTTTAACGATAAGGACAAAAAAAAAGGGTCAAGTGAACAGTACCGAGAGTTTTTCGTTAAAGTTCCCTTGAAAATAATTATTAAAGACCCAACTCTGCTATTTATTAAAGCAGCTTTTAAAAACAACCTACATGCTGCTTTTAAAAACTGCTGTCTAGAACTCATTACTTTTAAAATAAGTAGGATATTTTACTTTTACTAAACATTTTTTTACTGCTTAACTTTAAAGTTAAGCATTTTTTAGTGAAAAAAAGCAATACCAAACGGGCCTAACTCACACAAGGTCGTCTCCGACATTTTTGAGGACCCTGTGAGAATTTAATAAAAAGGCTCTCCTTAAAAAAAAATAAAAAAAACTAATTTTTTGGACAATATTTTCCTACATAATTCAATATATCAAATTCAAACTTAATTAAAATATGTATCTCACTCTTACAGTCTTACTAATTGAATAATCTCCAATTGCCATGAAATTCTTCGGGTCCATCTACGAAAAAAAAAGAGCAGGATTGAGAAAGCTACGGAAAGACGTTTGTGTTTTTGGAATAAAGTAGCACGGAAGTTAGTTTTTTATTGCTAAAGAAAAGTGAACGAAAGGAATACATAAGTTTTTTTTATTGCTAAAAAAAAGTGAAAATTGATATATTAAGTATCCTTGTTGTTCGGATCTTGATCGGGTCCGAGCTTCCGTAGCTCTATCTTGTTGGGGAACTCTACAATTGTAATATAAATAAAATCATATGATGATGATGATATTATTTTTTTAGTCAAACACTTGTTTATAAATTTTTTTAATCATATGTAATACATAGTAGGATGAAATTTTTTAAGGAACCTTCTAAAATTCGAAAGCATGTGTCACAACACCTTTTAGACAACGCAACGCCGTCTTTGAACTCGCACATATATCATCGTAGCCAAAGCCAAGTTGAATTCTAAATTATCTCTAGGAGATTCGAGAATAGAAAAATCAAACAACAAGTTTGAATCCGAGGAAGCAAAACCCTACTATTCCAATTAAAGTCGGGACAATGATATGTCAGTCCAAGTACTAAGAATCTAGCCCTACTAGAAAACAAAATTCAAATTAATTAAAAAAATATGTGCATGCATGTCCAAGAGATACGTGATGAGTGAAGTTACGGGGTTAATTAGCTAGTATTAAGAGTTGGTAAAGTGATGAGTAAGAGTAGGCTATAAATTCAGATCGTTTCAAATAATGATGAATATAAATAAACTAACCCTCCTTTATAATCAGAAAAACAGAAAATAAATAAAAGTATGTGATGAGTGAGTAAGGGAGAACTAAAGAAAATAAATAGAAGTATGTGATGAATAAGTAAGGAAGAATTGAAAAGGGCTTCTCGCATTTACCCGCATTTCACTACATGTTGTGTCGTGTTTAGTTTTTATCGTCGTGCATCTTCGTTTGTTCGTCCTGCACAGCTGGTTGAAAGAATCTTCATATTCAACCAAGTAACGATTTTTCTTTTTCTTTTTTATTCATTGGATAATTGTTGAATTGTGCGTTAAGAAAAGAAGAATGGCTTTTTGTTGGTCACTGGGGGAAGCTGGGTTTACATTTTTCCCGGTCAATCGTCTCTTCGAAAAACGCTGAATGGTCCCATTCCTCTCCAAAACATATGTAATTGTAGCCGATGTGTCATTGTCTTAAATCGTTGGATTACTGTAATAATTAAGCTGTGACAGAATCTCGGTACATGCACGAAACTTAAATATAGAAACTCGGGTTCTGAATGTCGGGACATGCTATAGAAATTCAGGTTTTGAATGGGGGAGCGTATATCTCAAAAAATAGAATTAATATTTCCGGAAATAACATTTCACCGCAGTGACGAAAAATAATCAGACATATACATTATAGTGCAAGTTCGATTATCACCGGTTCTCCTCCCAATAACTATTAACTATTTAACCCACTAACATATCGTTCTACTAAAAAAAATCTTGTTTATGACTCGTCGATCCAAGCCCTTGCATTTCTTAGGAAGTATTTTAAATGCTTCTTCAAGAACCACTTACATTTTTATTAATAATTTCAAAGTGTCCTAATAGAAGCTGTTTTAGTACAATTGTTTCTGAGGGTAAGTGTTTTATAAAAAAAGTAGTTACATATGAGCTCTTATATTTAAGTTCATAATGTATAGATCTAATACACTGCTTAACAATGAGCTCTTATATTTAAGTTCCTAAAATAAGATAGATACCAATTTAAATTGATTTCCAATTACACAAGAGTAATGTTATTCTCATCCCAATATCTTATCTTCCCACCCATTTTTAATGAATTTTTTAATTACAAATTTGTCCATTTGCAAAAAGACTGATAAGGACATTAATTATCTTGTTTTGCTTAATTTAAAAATAAAAAAAAAGTTGGGCATGGGAGACGATTTGTCTACCTTAAACCCTAATTCATATTTTCATCTCCTTTCATTCAAAGAATGTAAAAAAAATATCAATGGATTTAGAAGATGACTTTTTCATTGAAGAGGTGGAATATGACGTTTCTACGAAAAATGTAGAAGATTATGTTTCCATTGAAAAGGTAGAAGAAAAATTTGTGTGTGGGTCATTTGAATTTATCAATCGTATTTTTGAATTTGGCGTTGTCGATTTTTTTTTTAATTTGGATACCTTTGTCGTTTCCATTTGAATATGCAGACATTAGTGGTTTTCATTTACATATTATTTGTTTATATTTTTTAAGAGACAATTTTTTAATTCCATATGTATGTATATATTAAAGGTTATTTTGAGAATAATAGTGGATGGAGAAATAGCATTTTAATTTTTTAACTTTTTAAGGTGGGTGAGATTATAACGTGAGTGAAAATAAGACAATAAGATGGATCTAGTAGCTCTCTTACACAATTACACCCCCAAGCTTGTCCCTTTTGGGTTTTTACATTGTATGTCGCTTTTAAACGACACGTTACCTAACTTTTTAAAATGACGTCAAGAAAACCAAAGGGTGTGAACTATCGTCTTCGTAGTCCAATGATCATTCACTCGCCCACCTGTACGTCCGGTTTGCGGGTCATTCTTTCCTTTCAAACTTGCGTGTCAGTTTGAGCAGACAGTGTGTCGAAGTCGAAGTCCATCACGTGGGATTTGTGATCGGCATTGCGAGGGGGTCCGCATTGGGACTGGTGATGCCGTGATGGGATGGTAACACTTATGCCGATGCCTCACAGATTTTTTAGAATTATTAAAATATGGACGGTACATCATATATCACTGTATAATTAAAAAAACAAATCTTCTTTCTAAATGTACATTTAATTATATAATGACATCTAATATACCCTATGGTATCCTCGTCACATTAACAACTCTCTGACCGAAGAGGTGTAGGCTTTAATTATGTTTCAAATTTTTTTCCTTAAATTAATTAAAGAGAGCCTTATATATAAAATCAAAAATATATATAATATTTTAAGAAACTTCATTAGTTTTTAAATATTTTTATTAACAAATAATATTATCTACATTAAGAAAAGAGGTGGGATTAGCCTCACAATAGGCTAGCAATAATGTAGTTTAAATTCGCCTTTGACGAGAATTGAACCTACAACCTCTACTTACAGGTGAAGAGAAATATCACTAGATCGTAGTACTAAGGGTTGGTTTGAGGTTGTGGTGCTTTAAAAAAAACACCAACTTATTAAAAAATCTGGAGCATTAAATATGTCTAATAAAACAAAAAAAAATATGTGTTTTTTTTAAAACTGCTGTCAATGAAAGTAGAAAAACATAGAAAAGCAGAAGCATGATCTATTATGCTTCTAAAAAAAGTGTTTTTTTTTTCAAAACATAGTAATCAATGCTCATTTAATAAAATTTTCAAATAACAAGTATACCCCAACATGTTTTACAACATTACAATTTTTGTCATACATTATTGTCTTTAACAATTATTATATCACATTAAATACTATATCATTTTTAATCATTTAATATATTTCAAAGCAATTTGTATAAAAGTTTACCAAACACTCAAACACTTTTTTTTTTAATTAAAAGCACTTTTACAAAAAAAAAAAGTTTACCACACACTCAACAACTTTATTTTACAGTTGTTTATTTTCACAGCACAACAGAATCATTTTTTTTTTAAAAGTACAGCAGTACCAAACTAGCCCTAATTGCCTAGTTTTTAAACATTTTAAGAAAAAACAAAAACACCTAAAACCTAGTCAAAAAACATGAAAACAATTTTTTAAAATAGCCCAACCAACACAACTTCAAAGAAATTAATGTGTCTCATCAACTTAACTTATCTTTGATTATTTTTGCAGGATCACTTTCGAAACTATATGTAGAAGCAATTTGTATCTTTTATTTCTAGAATCAGTTCAATCCGTTCTCGATTATTTTTACAAAATCAGTTTCAAATACATGCATAACCAATTTTGTATATTTTTTAGTAGAACCAGTCTCCTGCCACAAAATTCGTTTGAGGTGTAGACTTTAATTAGTAATTACGTATCAAATTTTTTTTCCTTAACTTAATTAACAATAATTAGAATACAAGTTAACATAAAATGTTTATGAGGTGGCATGCACTTCATCATTTGATACATAAATGTAGTGACGTTAGCATTACTCATAATAAAATGACTCCATCAATGAAATTTTTATGAGAATATTTCTGTTCGTATTGGGGAAGTTTCCCGAACATAGCATCAAA